GGGGGGGGGGGGGGGGGGGGGGGGGGGGGGGGGGGGGGGGGGGGGGGGGGGGGGGGGGGGGGCTGCGGTGCGAGCTGCCCCCCCGCTGGGGATGGCGGTGCCCTGCGATGCTCCCGCTGCCCACGGCCTCCCCGCTCCTCCTGACTTGACCACGACGTGACCACAAGGTGACCACGAGGTGACAACAAGGTGACAACCAGGTGACCACAAGGTGACAACCAGGTGACCACAAGGTGACAGCAAGGTGACAACAAGGTGACCACAAGGTGACAACAAGGTGACCACCAGGTGACCACGAGGTGACAACAAGCTGACCACAAGGTGACCACGGAGTGACCACGAGGTGACAACCAGGTGACCACAAAGTGACCACGAGGTGACAACAAAGTGACTACGAGGTGACAACAAGCTGACCACAAGGTGACCACGGGGTGACCACGAGGTGACAACCAGGTGACCACAAAGTGACCACGAGGTGACAACAAAGTGACCACGAGGTGACCACCAGGTGACCACAAGGTGACAACAAGGTGACCACAAGGTGACCACCAGGTGACCACGAGGTGACCACGAGGTGGCAAGGTGACCACCAGGTGACCACAAGGTGACCACGAGGTGACAACAAGCTGACCACAGGGTGACCACGAGGTGACAACCAGGTGACCACAAGGTGACCACAAAGTGACCACGAGGTGACAACAAAGTGACCACGAGGTGACCACGAGGTGACCACCAGGTGACCACCAGGTGCCCCCAGGCCGGCCCGCAGCCGCAGACCCCCGCTGCCCCCCGAGGTTCGGCGCTGCACTGCGTTACTGAGCCGCTGGAATCGGAGCTGGCGGCGCCGGTTGGTTTCTCAGCTGCTTTGCCACGAGCCGTGCCATCAACTGTGTGCCAGAGCCACCGCCGCCCTCATAACGAGCTCCCGGCTAATTTGCTCCCATCTCAATGGTTAACCAACGGTTGGCCAACAGTTGACCACTGCTTGGCCAACGTTTGACCAACAGCTGGCCAGTGTTTGACCGACGGTTGGCCAATGGTTGGCCAATGGTTGCCCGGGGGCTGACCAACGGCTGACCAATGGCGGATCAGCGCTTGGCCAACATCTGTCAAATGGTGGATCAACAGCTGATCGATGGTTGGCCAAGGGTGGGCTGTAGCTGACCAACAGTTGACCACTGTGTGGCCAATGGGTGGCCAATGGGTGGCCAATGGTTGACCACCAGCTGACCGACTCTTGGCCAGTGGCTGACCTACCACTGACCGGTGGTTGACCAACACTTGGCCAATCATTGACCAATGCTAAGCCAATGGTTGACCAACGCTTGGCCAATGTCTGACCAATGTCTGACCAATGTCTGACCAATGGTTGACCAACGCTCAGCCAGTGGCTGAACCATGGTTGACCAACACTTGGCCAATCGCTGACCAATATCTGACCAGTGATTGACCAATGGTTGATCAATGCTCAGCCAGTGGTTGAACCATGGTTGACCAACGCTTGGCCAATCGCTGACCATCTGACCAATGATTGACCAATGTCTGACCAACGTCCAGCCAGTGGTTGAACCAACTCAGCCATGGTTGATCAATGCTTGGCCAATCGCTGACCAATATCTGACCAATGATTGACCAACGCTCAGCCAGAGGTTGAACCATGGTTGACCAACACTTGGCCAATCGCTGACCAACATCTGACCAACACTTGGCCAATCACTGACCAATGCTAAGCCAACGGTTGACCAACGCTTGGCCAATCGCTGACCAATATCTGACCAATGTCTGACCAATGTCTGACCAACGCTCAGCCAGTGGCTGAACCACAGTTGATCAACTCTTGGCCAATCGCTGACCAACGTCTGACCAACACTTGGCCAATTGCTGAGCAACATCTGACCAACACTTGGCCAATCACTGACCAATGCTTGGCCAATGGTTGACCAACAGTTGACCAATGCTAAGCCAACGGTTGACCAACGCTTGGCCAATCGCTGACCAATATCTGACCAATGTCTGACCAATGTCTGACCAACGCTCAGCCAGTGGCTGAACCACAGTTGATCAACTCTTGGCCAATCGCTGACCAACGTCTGACCAGCATTTGGCCAATCGCTGACCAATGCTAAGCCAAGAGCTGACCAACGCTTGGCCAATGGTTGACCAACAGTTGACCACTGCTAAGCCAAGAACTGACCAACTCTTGGCCAATCGCTGACCAATATCTGGCCAATATCTGACCAATATCTGACCAATGGTTGACCAACGCTCAGCGAGTGGCTGAACCATTGTTGATCAACTCTTGGCCAATCGCTGACCAATGTCTGACCAATGCTTGGCCAATGGTTGACCAACAGTTGACCAATGCTAAGCCAACGTTTGACCAACGCTTGGCCAATCATTGGCCAATGCTGAGCCAACAGCTGACCAACGCTTGGCCAATTGCTGACCAATGTCTGACCAATGTCTGACCAATGTCTGACCAACGTCCAGCCAGTGGTTGAACCAACTCAGCCATGGTTGATCAATGCTTGGCCAATCGCTGACCAATATCTGACCAATGATTGACCAATGATTGACCAACACTCAGCCAGAGGTTGAACCGTGGTTGACCAACACTTGGCCAATCGCTGACCAACGTCTGACCAACACTTGGCCAATCGCTGACCAATGCTTGGCCAATGGTTGACCAACAGTTGACCAATGCTAAGCCAACGGTTGACCAATGCTTGGCCAATCGCTGACCAATATCTGACCAATGTCTGACCAATGTCTGACCAATGTCTGACCAACACTCAGCCAGTGGCTGAACCACAGTTGATCAACTCTTGGCCAATCGCTGACCAACGTCTGACCAACACTTGGCCAATTGCTGACCAATGCTAAGCCAAGAGCTGACCAACGCTTGGCCAATCGCTGACCAATGTCTGACCAACTCTTGGCCAATCGCTGACCAATGTCTGACCAACGCTTGGCCAATCGCTGACCAACGTCTGACCAACACTTGGCCAATTGCTGACCAATGCTAAGCCAAGAGCTGACCAATCCTTGGCCAATCGCTGACCAATGTCTGACCAATGGTTGACCAACGCTCAGCCAGTGGCTGAACCATGGTTGATCAACTCTTGGCCAATCGCTGACCAAAGCTAAGCCAACAGCTGACCACTGGGTGGCCAATGGCTGACCAACAGCTGACCAACACTAAGCCAAGAGCTGACCAATGCTTGGCCAATCGCTGACCAGTGTCTGACCAATGCTTGGCCAATGGTTGACCAACAGTTGACCAATGCTGAGCCAACGGTTGACCAACGCTTGGCCAATGGCTGACCAATGTCTGACCTATGGCTGACCAATGGCTGACCTATGGCTGACCAATGGCTGACCAACACTCAGCCATTGGGATTCCCTAAAGCTCTATAGGGGCGGGTCCTATAGGGGCGGGTTTTATAGGGTCGGGTGGGTTCTATAGGTGCAGGTTCTATGGGAGCGGGTTTTATAGGGACGGATGGGTCCTGGAGGAGCGGGTCCTACAGCAGGTGGGTGCTCTGGTGGGGGGTCCTATAGGCGCTGGGTCCTTTGGAGAGGGACGGATTTTATGGGGGGTGCCATAGGGTGGCGGTGGGGCGGCCATAGGGTGGGTGTGGGGCGCTGAGCCGCTCGGAAAAAATCACCGCACGTCTTTCACAGCGCTGCGCCGCTCCGCTTTAATGCGCCGAGCCGCCGCCCCAAATCCCCACATGTCCCCATGTGTCCCCACATGTCCCCATGTGTCCCCGTGTTCCGACGTCCCCCCACGTTCCCATGCGTCCCCATATGCCCCCCCATGTCCCCATATGCCCCCATGCCCCCCCATATGTCCCCACGTCCCCATATGCCCCCCCACATCCCCATATGTCCCCATGTCCCCATAGGTCCCCACGTCCCCATGTGTCTCCATGTTCTGATGTCCCCCCACGTCCCCATGTGTCCCCATGCTCCGACGTCCCCATACGTCCCCCCATGTCCCCACGTTCCGATGTCCCCATATGTCCCCATCTTCTGATGTCCCCATACGTCCCCCCACATCCCCACACGTCCCCGTGTTCTGATGTCCCCCCCACATCCCCATATGTCCCCATGTTCTGATGTCCCCCCGTCCCCATGTTCCGATGTCCCCATATGTCCCTGTGTTCTGATGTCCCCATCCGTCCCCACGTCCCCATATGTCCCTGCATTCCGATGTCCCCACACGTCCCCGTGTTCTGATGTCCCCCCATGTCCCCATATGTCCCCATGTTCTGATGTCCCCCCATGTCCCCACATGTCCCCATGTTCTGATGTCCCCCCCCGTCCCCCGGTGTCGCGACGCCCGCAGCTCAGCTCAGCGCAGCGCAGCGATGTGCAGCAGCAGTTGGTGCGCAGCTTCATCCAGGGAGCCCTGCAGCCCACAGAGCCGTGGGGAGCTGTGGGGCACGGAGTGCTGACCCACAGCCCCGCCCCATAGCGTCAGTGTGGGGCACGGAGTGCTGACCCACAGCCCGGCCCCATAGCGTCAGTGTGGGGCACGGAGTGCTGACCCACAGCCCGGCCCCATAGCGTCAGTGTGGGACACGGAGTGCTGACCCACGGCCCCACAGCCCCACAGCCCCGCCCCATAGCGTCAGTGTGGGGCATGGAGTGCTGACCCACAGCCCCACATCCCTGCCCCATAGGGTCAATGTGGGGCATTTTATGGTCCCGACCCCACAGCCCTACATCCCAGCCCCATAGGGTTGGTGTGGGGCACCTTGTGGCCCCGATCCCACATCCCCACATCCCAGCCCCATAGGGTTGGTGTGGGGCACGTTATGGTCCTGATCCCACATCCCTGCCCCATAGGGTCAATGTGGGGCATTTTATGGTCCCGACCCCACAGCCCTACATCCCAGCCCCATAGGGTTGGTGTGGGGCACCTTGTGGCCCCGATCCCACATCCCCACATCCCAGCCCCATAGGGTCAGTGTGGGACACCTTGTGGCCCCAACCCCACAACCCGGCCCCACAGGGTCGGTGTGGGGCACCTTGTGGCCCCGACCCCACATCCCGGCCCCATAGGGTCGGTGTGGGGCACCTTAAGGTCCCGACTCCACATCGTGGCCCCATAGGATCGGTGTGGGGCACCTTGTGGCCCCGACCCCACATCCCTGCCCCATAGGGTTGGTGTGGGGCACCTTGTGGCCCCAACCCCACATCCCAGCCCCATTTTGCGCTGGGTCCCCACCTGCGCTGCGCTCAGGAGATGCGTGCGATAAACGGCCACAACGTGGCGGTGGTTCTGCTGCTGCAGCTGCGGGAGTGGAGGCAACGTGGGACATGGGGGTTGGGGGGTGACAGCGTGGGGTGACGTTGGGTGACAACATGCGGGGATGTGGGGTGACACCGTGGGGTGACATTGGGTGACAACGTGCAGGGATGTGGGGTGACACCATGGGGTGACACTGGGTGACACCATGGGAGGATGTCGGGTGACAGCATGGGGTGACTGGGTGACACCATGTGGGGATGTGGGGTGACGTTGGGTGACACCATGGGGTGACGGTGACATCATGGGGGGATGCCAGGTGACACCACATGGGGACAGCAGGTGACACCATGCGATGATTCTGGGTGACGCCACAGGGTGACACCACGAGGTGACACGAGGTGACACAGGGGGGTGACACAACGTGACGTAGCGCCGGATGACACCAAGGGGTGAGGTGACATTGGGTGACACCAGGTGACACCTGAGGGTGATGTGATACAGTGCAGGGTGACACCGGGGGGTGACATAAGGTGACACAGGGTGACAACAGGGATGAGGTGACAGAGGGTGAGGTGAGGTGACACCAGGTGACAGCGGGGGGGTGATGTGACATGGCACAGGGTGACACCAGGGGTGCAGTGAGGTGACACGGGGTGACACCAGGGGGTGACACGATGTGACACGGGGTGACACGGGGTGACAGAGGTGACAATGGAGATGAGGTGAGGTGACAGTGGGTGACAGCAGGGGGTGATGTGATGTGACACAGCGTGACAGTGGGCGTGAAGTGAGAGTGAGGTGACAACAGGTGACACCAAGGCTGAGGTGAGGTGACACGGGGTGACACTGAGGATGAGGTGAGGTGACACGCGGTGACACCGGGGGTGGGGTGAGGTGACAGCAGGTGACAGAGGTGACAGAGGAGTGAGGTGAAGTGACGCAGAGGTGACACACGGAGGTGACACAGAGGTGACACATGGAGGTGACACACAGAGGTGACACAGCAGTGACACACAGAGGTGACACAGAGGTGACACAGTGGTGACACAGCGGTGACACGGAGGTGACACACGGAGATGACAAAGAGGTGACACAGAGGTGACACACAGAGGTGACACAGAGGTGACACATGGAAGTGACACAGCAGTGACACAGAGGTGACACGCAGAGGTCACACAGTGGTGACACAACGGTGACACATGGAGGTGACACACAGAGGTCACACACGGAGGTGGCACATGGAGGTGACACAGCGGTGACACACAGAGGTGACACGGAGGTGGCACACAGGTGACACACGGAGGTGACACACGGAGGTGACACAGAGGTGACACAGAGGTGACACGCAGCGGTGACAAACAGCGGTGCCACACGGAGGTGACACAAGGAGGTGACACACAGGTGACACACGGAGGTGACACACGGAGGTGGCACACAGGTGACACATGGAGGTGACACACGGAGGTGACACACAGGTGACACACAGAGGTGCCACAGCGGTGACACAGAGGTGACACACAGCGGTGACACACGGAGGTCACACACGGAGGTGGCTCACAGGTGACACAGCGGTGACACACAGAGGTGACACACGGAGGTGGCACACGGAGGTGCCACAGTGGTGACACAGAGGTGACACACGGAGGTGACACACAGGTGACACAGCGGTGACACAGAGGTGCCACACGGAGGTGACACACAGGTGACACATGGAGGTGACACACAGGTGCCACAGCGGTGCCGCAGAGGTGACACACGGAGGTGACACACAGGTGACACAGCGGTGACATGGAGGTGACACACGGAGGTGACACACAGTGGTGCCACACGGAGGTGACATACGGAGGTGACACACAGAGGTGTCACATGGAGGTGACACAGAGGTGACACAGAGGTGACACAGAGGTGACACACGGAGGTGACACACGGAGGTGACACAGAGGTGACATGGAGGTGACACAGAGGTGACACACAGAGGTGACACAGCGGTGACACAGAGGTGACACACGGAGGTGACACAGAGGTGACACGGAGGTGACACAGAGGTGACACACGGAGGTGCCACAGCGGTGACAGAGGTGACACATGGAGGTGACACACGGAGGGGACACACAGAGGTGACACACAGAGGTGACACAGCGGTGACACAGAGGTGACACACAGTGGTGACACACAGCGGTGACACATGGAGGTGACACACGGAGGTGGCACACAGAGGTGACACACAGGTGACACACAGGTGACACACAGAGGTGACACACGGAGGTGACACACAGCGGTGACACACAGGTGACACACGGAGGTGACACACAGCGGTGACACACGGAGGTGACACAGAGGTGACACACAGAGGTGACACAGAGGTGACACAGCGGTGCCACAGCGGCGCCCCGTGCGCTGCCGCCCCCCGCCCACCTGCAGCCGCAGCCGCAGCTCCGCGCTCTGTTCGCGCACCGCGCGCAGCTCCGCCTCCAAGCGACCCGACAGCGCCAGCAGCTGCGCCACCTGCGGGCGGGGGGCGGGGGGACAGGGGGACAGGGGGATGTGGGACAGGGGGACATGGGGACAGAGG